ATATTATTCAATGATTCAATTCAGTTCAGGATTGCTTATTGAGTTGAAAAATTGGTATTGGACAGTATCATTAGATGTTAAAGAAAATATTTTCTTTGTTAGCTTATATTAGTTAATACAAATTAATTTAACTAAATAAATAGGTGTCTGAGTGCAATATTTACTTTGATATCAGACAAAAGTAGAAATGAAATGTATACCATAATAAGATACAAGGAAGTTATTTATAATATATATTATATTACATTGTTATATTATTTTATATACATACCCTCGTTTACATACAACTCTTCCACAGCCTTTTTGTATTCCTCATCTATAATTTGATTAACTCTTAAATGATTTTTTTCTAAATTATCTAATCGTTTTTGCCAATATTGATCTTGAGTAAGAAGTTCTTGCTCTTTTTGTTGCTGTATTTCAAGAGCAGTTAACGTTAGTTGTGGATAATAATATGCAGGATATCCAGAGGGTGCATCTCCACTTTGAAATGATGGTGAAGATACAGCTTTATTAGGAAATGGTGGCATCAAAGTTGATGATCTTACTTCATTTCCTGATTGAATATTAGCTTCATTCACTTTCTGAGTCAATCGTTGTACAATTGAATTTGAAACTTTAATAACATCTATTTCTTCTTCGTTATTAATGGTAAGTCTCCGAGCACTTTGTCCAGCACCCATTTCAACTGTTTCTATTTATCTTGAAGGAAGACAAAATGTTTATTTTATACTTGTCTCATAAGTTTAGATCAATTAAAAATGCATAGAAGAGTTTGTCTGAAAAATCAAGTAAAATGTATGTAATAATAGGTACATAATATAAACATAAAATATCAATGTTATAATAATAAATTTTTAAATATTTCAAGGAGTAATCTACACTTCTAAAAATGTAAATATATATTTTTGAAATTTTTCAACGCTTGATTATATCTCCTTACTTGTGAATTTCATTTTTAGAATGACCTTCATGCGCATTAAAACTTATATTTAAATAAATCTACAAGAATATATTTTATCAATATTGTATACTTGACAAAAAACTACATAACCTTATTCATAATCTCACCTAATTTAGTATTAGAAAATTAAATAAATTTCATATATTT